TTCCAAATGCAACAGAAGAATAAACATAAAAGAAGAAGATATAATTCATGGAATCAGTCATATTGCCTCTAGAATGATGGCATTATGTTCTACTGGATATGTCATTGATCAGCGCTTAGCTTGACTGTTCACACAAATGAGGTTTTAATACGAGACTGATTGAGACGTACGTGTAAGTGACGTCGTCTGTACACGGATGATTGGCACGAACGATAATGAAGACGTGTTGAAAATGAGAGCGAACAGTTATTGGACTAAACGGTAATGCGCCCGGCTCTTGAAATATCAACGTGACCATATCGTTTCCAATATGACGTTTACGAGCCAACTGCAGCAAACAATTCATGAATCATTGGTGTTAATAATGAAAACCTCAGGAATATAACTCGTCTCAGAGGTCAATCCAATGCAGCATGATCTAGAGACCATTCTGCATGGAGAGAACAATTTATAATGATACTGTGCGTGATTATGTTAACGAGCAATATCGGTAACCAAACCCGTGGAATATCGGATAAAAGAATCGAATAAATCGAAAATATTGTACAGTAGGAAGAGTACGTAGAACAAATGAGGGCAAAATCAGTGTGGCAATAATGAATCACTTTCCCAAAATGAATCAAAGTTTAAATGAGTGGAATCAAAAAGGAGCTAGCTGATTAGCTGTTGCCGAGGAGTGAAGTGCAACAACGATTCAAAACAATCCAGCGAACAAACCTGTTGCCTATTGCTGTGTGTGAACGGCAGTAGTGTCGAAACATGGAACATAATCTCATGAGCTTGATATTCGGCATAAATCGAGTATGTACCAGTGGTGTCACCACGAATATCAAGCCCACCTTTGTACTGATCGAACCCTTTTAAACGTACTCGTTGACCGAGAAAATCCAAAAATTCTTCAAAAGCTGGCGATCCATTTTCTAGAATTTGAAAATGTTCAGTTGCACTCCAAAAAGGCCATCTTACTATCGGAATGTATTTCCGATAGTGATTCAAGCATGAGAATTTCAATGAGTTGACATCGTAATAGCAAAAATTGACATCAGCAGAATTGTGCGCTTAACACACCTACCATTATTATACATTTGCTCTTCAGTTGACTGTCCGGGCCCACAATACATAACACCTACTTTATACCTCGTATATATTGGCTGAAAGTGAAAGCGATTAAGTTGAANGTGAGTAATAGAGCACATTCCCTCAGAATAATATATATTTACAGAAGGCTGATATTCTTCTCGATTCAAAGATACCAAAAAATTTGCGATACTGAGCGTAGAATGCTCCACCAACCTGTTCATCAATTTTCATAAGAAGGTCTTCAACCCGAGCCGATTGAGCCGCAGGTCTCAAGGCTGTGAAATGCACCTGAGGACAGACCACATCGAGCAGCTCTTTCACTACGGATCGCGTACTCCTTTGCTCATTCCCATCAGTGATCGCCTCTTCAGGCACCGCCACTCGGATGTTACGAACCTGAAATTCCCCGGATTACGCGATAGTAGTTTTTTTTGCTGAACCACTGTTCTAATGAAAGTGTCCTTAATGCGGCTGCTCTGCTACTTCAGTCCAGATCAAATGCTCGGCGAAGATAGCACGTTTACAATTAATTATATTTTAGATCAATCAATGCTAAATAAAGTTCAATTCAAGTAACTTCGTAACTAGTTCAGATGATGTGCTTTATCAGTTCAATATGCAATATTATTGTGATGAAGATCTCACCTGAAGCTAAACTTAGTCGGAGCAAGATAATTTATGTGGAAGTGTTTTAATGAGAAGAGATAAAGCTCTCGGATGTTTGTATGGAAAGGCACTTTTTGAAACAACGAGAAACTGAAAGCATTTAATGAGAAAGAGCGAACATCACTGATTCGAACGATCATTCGGTAGATGGCCATTGAATGGACGCCGTTTGATTTTTTATGCTCGACATTCTCTCGAATCATGGAAAGAGCCACTGGGCCGAACGTATCATCGGTTCCGAGATAATTTGAATGTGCTGAAAAGTGTTTGCGAGTTTGCGTGCATGGTCACTTTGTTCAGTATATTCATACAGTTGATTTAGTTGCGCATTTTCTATTAAATGATTAATTGAAAGGTAGAGTTTTGATTGATTTCCGTGATCATGACCTGTTTATGGCGAGTGTGCACAATTTTCTTTTATTTTCCATTATGTTATTACTTGGAATAATCATTTCTAAATACAGCTGAAACATTCGCAGTCTTGATACAGTTTTGTTTTCTTAGACAACATTCTCCTCGTTTGTTTCAGATCAGTCGTTTTCCCAACGGATTTCACAATATTTCTGTTAAGAGCGATTTGTGTTCGATCAGTTTTTTGTTTGCGAGTGTTTGTTTCTATTTCGGTTTCGGAATTATATCACTCATTTGGTTGAGAGCGATTAAATTTTGAGAATATCTTCTTGAAGAAATGTTTTTCATTTTCCAAAAACAGACTTTTCTTGGGGCATCTTCAAGTGAATGTGAATGAATTGAAGTGCATTCGCTAAAGAAAAATACAAGTGACATTTGAAATGCACTTATTGTAATTTTATTTCTTTTTTTTTCTCAACGCAACACAGCATTGTTCGCATTCAGATGAGTTCACGCCGTAACGTTCCGTTTCTCTGAAACTTTTAAGAAGCTCCGGACAAAACAAAAACCAATCGAAATCTCTATTGAACTCACGTCTGCCCACAAAGCAATGCCTATAATAATACGAGCCAATATCTTGTGGTTCGATAACAATCTTCGGCTGACGTGCCGCACATAATCTGAAACAGCAGCAAATCAGTTTCAGCGTCTAACGATAAGTGAAACGCTGGATTAGTCTTGAAACGATAAATTTGGCTAATTTAGCGTGAACACTCAAAGAGAAGCAGTAATTATTTGGACGATTGCGATTCAACAACTAAGACGTACAGTAAACTGGATCAAGACATCGCAAGATGCAGTATGTGCGAGGAATTCAATTGATTCACCTACACTTACCTAAATTTAATATTTTGACGCTCAGTTGAATGTGATTTTAGAGGGTATCATGAACTTAAAATAATTTTAACAACGTTTTGAAATGATAGATGGAATTTGATGTTTGCTTGATGAACTCCTAAGTAAAGATGAACAATCTGGAGTGGTGATACAGATCAAGGTGCTAACAGGAAGGGCAATATCAATGAAACTGATGTGGCAATGAATGAGCAGTGATGTGATAGTGGCTGATATCAGAGAAAGTGATTGAGTGAAATAAGCAAACCTTCCACCCAAATAAACATTGCTGACATCTTCAAGAATCGCCGATTCAGCAGCAGTCTGTTCACGTTGCCAGCTTTCATACTCTGATTTCACCAGATCACTGCCAGCCACTTGAGAGTGCCGTCGTGTTAGTGCTAACCGACGAATTGGTTCACCACCGAGTTCATTCCTTTAGTAATCGACTCGTCATGCTTTCATTCAAGAGAAACACACAATGTTGGATCGCATGGCACCCATTTTCATAATTTTGCTATCAATATCACGTTTGGGCATGATGCAAGCAGATCTCATGCAAATGATCAGTGCCTAGTTTCCAACAACTCAGCAGCAGATCCATCGAATGGCATCTAAGAATGCGAAGGGAATTCCATATCGAATCACTAATTTTTGTACTAACTTCAAATTGCTAAATTCCTTTTGCAACTAACATAAGCAGATTCACTTGAGAAATTGCATTGTTCGCGATAAGTTTCTTAAGGAGTCATTGTGATAAAAACGAACAATAGAGATGAGCAGCAATTTCGATGAGTTGTAAACTGACCTGAAAGCGGGACACGAAACAAGAAGGTCATTGCATTTGCCATCGCCAGAATCGTCCTCACAAGGACTTTGCGCTTGAGAGGCACCCGTAGGACGAGGTTCAATTGAGGTGGTTGGTGGGCCAAGACCCCATGCGGCTGCCAAACTTTGGCAATCATGATATGCACACAGTCGAGGATAGCACGGCCTCCATTCACTTCAAAAATTTGTTTGTTCATGGTTTATGATCTATCCTCATCAACAATGATCTGGTTGATCGCTAAGCTAACAAGATGAACGC